GGACAAGTTGAGCTGTATAAAGGGCTGCCCGCCGCGACCCCCTACCATTTGCGCTAACCCACAATTGTCTCAATCGTGACGATATCAATGGCCGNAGAATAAGTGGATGGGATGAAAGGAACTCGAATAGCCTGTTAATGAAGGGACCAACCAGTTGGGCAGAGGGTAGGTGGAATATGCTCTCACCAGCTAGCCGATCATTCTCTACAGTGAGCAAGTAATGTGGGTATTTATAGCACAGTGCTTGGACAAGTCGAGCTGTATAAAGGGCTGCCCGCCGCGACCCCCTACCATTTGCGCTAACCCACAATTGCCTCAATCGTGACGATACCAATGGCCATTAACGACGAGCCATACATCTTAACATTAATTAGGCAGATGTGATGTTTTCTCAAATACAACCTAGATGTGGCCCCGAGGAAGGTGTGATAGCCAAGGTGAGAGAGGGCTCCCAAGGCCTATGATCGCAACTGGTCACCATGGGACCATGACCTTGAAATGACCATGCCCGCGATGCCCCCATCGCGCTCTAACCCGAGGTCCTTCTTTCCTTCTCTAGACCTTTCCTCGAGACTTTTGTCGAGGTACCCGATAGAGGAAATTCACATAGTTTCGGTCCTTCAGCCACCAATCTACATGTCCCATCATCTCATACGTTGATTTGAATTAATAACCCCCAGTTACCTTAGGAGTCTCTCTGAATCCCAGTTAAGCACATTCTAGTGGGCAGTGAGCCACACATTGGGAGACCTGCTCGAGCAAATTAAATCTTCGAGACCCTGCCCCAGACTGAGGTTGACAATCGTGCTCATCTACCCCTATTGCTCAATTCTTCCTTAAGATGGGTCATACTCCCTTGTCCCTACGTGGGAAAACCTCTTAATTCTATGGGCCAGTCGAGCAACGAAATTTAATAGGTTAAGGATACCATTCTCGCAGCGGGAGAGGCGAGTCTTGCCGAGGTTGCCCCCACACTTCTGTGATTCCATTTTCTACCCAACCTTGGTGAAATGTCCATTTTATCACGTCCAATGCGATGGAGACGTATCTCGCCCCCTGTTGCGATGTCGCGCCTGAGAGCGTCATGCTAAGGGGGTGTCGCACAAAGGGGGCATTGCACTAAGGGGGCGTCGCGCTCATGGGGCGTCGCACCTAAAAGGCGTCGCGCTAAGGGGGCGTCGCGCCAAAGGGGCGTCATGCCGAGGTTGCCCCATACTTCAACGATTCAACTTTTGTCCACCCTTGGTGAAGGGTCCACTTTGTCACGTCTAATGCGATGGGGATATATGTCAGCCAAGGAGAGTTGCGCTTAGGGGCGTTGCCCCTTAGGTGTTACGCATGAGTGTTGTGCCTTGGGTGTCATGCATGACATTATTATCTACATGCTTCCAGGGGTACACGCCAAAGGGGGTGTTACAACCAAGGGTGTCTCAGCCAGGGGGGGTCGCGCCCAAGGGGTTGCACCTTAGTTGCTGCGCATGAGCGTTGTGCCTTAGGCGTCACGCATGACATTATTATCTACACTAGTCCAATTGACGTTGTAAGGGCGTTGCACCCAAGGATGCCAGTCCTTGTTATTTATACCAGTCTAGTTGACCTCTGTCGGGCTCCATTTCCATGTCAAATAATTATCGTTGCCACTTGTCCTGTTATGGTGGAGACACGTGTCTTGAAAATTTTCAAACACTACACTGGTTTGTGTCACTTTCAATCAATTAAGAACAATGATTTGCATACACTAAAGGGAGTTGTCAGGTAAGTCTCAATTGGTCACATTTGAGGGCTCATTTTAGTCCTTAAATCTCCAATTCGTGTCATTTTAGTTCTCAGTCTTTTAATTGTCAGTTTTATCCCTCAAGTTTTTAAAGAATGTACTTAAATTGCAGTCACATGAGACGCCCAAGACTAAAAATCACTGGCTTTTTTCGATTGAACCCAAATGGCACAAATAGAAAACTTGATGGACTAGAGTGATAAAATTGAGGGACCATTTATTTAGAGTGCATTTGGTAACTTGTTAGTTTTTATGTTTTTTTTTTTTTTAAAAAGAACAAGTTTTTTATTTTTTCTGTAATAAAAATTTAAAATATAAAACATGTTTAGTAGTCATTTAAATTTTAAAAATTATGAAAACAAAAATAAAAAATATGTTTGGTATTATAATAGTATTTTCATAATTTATTGTGGTTATTTTGATTAATTTTTTAATCCAAAATTCATCTCCTCCCAAATACATCTCTAGGCACCCCTGTTTAGCCACCACCCAACCCACCTATGTATATAACAAACCCAAACTTAAAAAAAATAATTCCATAGAGGGGTTAGAGAAAGAAAGAATCAATGGAGATGGAGAGGGAGATGGAAAGAGTAGAAAATCTGATAAATTAGTGCTTCCTTGCTAGAGCTTCCTTTATTAGATCGAATGATGGAGCTTTCTTACGTTTGCTTCGCAAGAGAGAGATGAACGAGAGATGCAAAACAGGGGTAAAAAAAAAAAGTCTTTTTGTACTTGGAACAAAAAAAAAAACTTTTTTTGTGCTGTTAATGGGGTTCGAAGATGAGACCTCATTAATTGAGGCTAAGGGGGCGTGTGTTTTTGTTTTTTCCTTGTTTTTGAAAACACCTAAACATGTGTTTTCAAAAAATGGGGTTGTTTACAAAACAAATTGACCCAAAAAAAAAAAAAGAAAGAAAAACACGCTCTAATCATGTTTTTTATTTGTAAAAATTAAAAACAAAAAATAAAAAACGAAAACAGCCTGTTACCAAAGGCAGCCTCCTTAACTTTTATCAGCTGTAATGGCCTTATGTTTTTTTTTTCCTTCGGCTATTCTGCTGATCTACTTGGATTGTTGTAATAGTCACCATCTTGATTCTTCACAATAGAGACGCTGGACCAATAAAACAGAAAGAAGGCCCATCTTTGTTTGTATGAATCGTACTCATACTTTCTGCTGAACTTGGAAACAGATAACCCGCATCTCCATTTGGTCTAATCCATAAGAATTTGAATTTTCTTCCTTAATGTTTGAGTTTGAGTTTTTTTAGTTATAGAAATTTGTTAGACTAAACCTATTTTTCAGCGTCTAGAGTACGCCGTGAGACCTCAATTTCAGCCCCAATGTAGGTGCGGTGGAGTCCCTTACAGATAATTGTATGGTACTGAGATGTAATACTCCCTGACGAATATGTTGAATAATTTATCTGCATACCATTTTTTATATTGAAAAAAAGAACTTGAAAATAAATTGATCTAAATGGCCTATGAAAACATAATAAAGTTTCTAACTCCCAAAATTCAACTAGAAATGAAAGCTCTATGAAGAATCTGTCACCATGGAATAAGTGTTTGTTCTAGCCTCTAATTGAATCATTAACTATAGGATTTTGGTTTGATTTAGTTTCGTTCACCCGCTTAAGAGTTTTTGAACGTAACTTACCCCATTCTAGAAAAGTTGATTGTTGCACTCAAACATATTGATTCTTGCACTCGAACCACAATCAAAAAAACTATCTTACTTCCCAAGAACAAAACAAGTGCAACTATCAATCCTTAGTCACGAACACCAACATACATATCTAACCAAAAAAAATTGTCATAAATTGACAGTTTATACACTATATGTGTATACCAAAGGACCACCTATTTATTTTGCAATGCACTATGCAATCTAGACTGATGAGGTGTATGTTTTAAGAAAAAATGCTAGTAAGTAGTAACCATTTGAAGATTGCAACAGCTACAAGGAACTGCAGAAGCTTGATGAAACACTGGTGGGATGACTTATCTCTGACTTATTCTCATTCTTGTAATGCTGCTTTGAAAGCATGTAGATAGTCCTTTTGAGGGAGGTTTTGTTATGCCATCTCTAGTTATAACTCAAATTCTTATTGGTTTTTAGCAAAATTTTAAGTAAAAAATTTATTTTGATATATAATATTGGAGTTAACAAACTTAAATTCCTAGTCAAATCTTATTATAAAATTTTCAAATTCTCGCATAATACATTTTAAATTTGTTTTCCCTCTTTTTTCCCCCTAAAATTTAAGTTTTACTTCTCACTTAAAGCTTCTTTTATGCAAAAAAAAAAATGATTTCATCAAAAGTAAAAGCATGTTTGAAATTATAATACATAAATTAGATACTTTCATATATTACTAGATATATGGTTAAAATAATGTAGTAAGTCCCGACAATAAAAAAAAATAAAATTTACTTTAAAAAAGTTCCTAAAAATATTTAAAATATTTTCAAAAAGTGTTGCCGTCCACTAATTAAATGATAAGAGCTTGTCTTTCATCTTTTTTTTTTTTCACTAAATTTAATTTTGAGTTAAGTTTAAGTAAGGATTATTATAATTTTAATATAATTTAGAGAGTGTAATTTATCTTATAATTATTAAATAAAATTTTCAAGTGAGGATTTTGCATTTTGGGATTAAAAAAAAATTAGGGCAAATAACAGCTTGCACCCCTGAAAGATTAAAAAAAAGTTAATTTATGCTCTTAAAGATTAATTATTTTAAATTTCACCCCTACTTAAATTAATTAGTAGTAATATAACCCAACTATAATGTTTGTTGAGATTTTCATCAAATTGTCAATCACATTAAATGCACGTGATGACTTTTGTCGCATTATAGCTCTTCTACTTTTCACATGCGGGATGTTTATCAATCGAATAAAAATCATCATAGATGTTTATGGTTGGGAATACGATTTTTGTTAAATTGACAAGCACACGATAGCTTTTGTTAGATTATGATTATTCCAATTTTCACGTGCGTCTTACATGACTGTCAATTTAATAAAAATCGCAACAAACATTATGATTGGATCCACATTGCTGCCAATTAATAAAATTAAGGGTATAATTTGAAATAATTGATCTTTGAGGGTAAAAATGGAGACTCTTTCAATCCTTTGGGGTGAAACTGCCATTTTCCCAACTAAGTACTATAAAGTTGGACCCAATTTTTTGCTTTTTTTGCACTTTGCCCCCCTCACAAGAAATCCCTTCTTTCTTCCTCTGAATATCTAAAGTATCCGCAACAAATTCACACACTCTCTCTCTCTCTCTCTGAGTAGTCGTCTCTCCTTCTCCATTTCCCAAGGGTTTCGGTCCCTCCTCGAAACCCTAATTCTACCTCACACTCTTAGATCCAAACCCTAACCCTAATCCGATTTATATATTTTGCAAATCGAATTTGCAGTGTTTGGTGGTGAAAGCAAAAAGGATACAAGAATGGCCTCGGCGGCGACGATGGTGAGCTCGGCCGGAGGACTATTGGCTATGCTGAATGAGAGCCATCCGGTGCTCAAGCTTCACGCTCTGTCCAATCTCAACGCCTTTGTTGACTACTTCTGGCCCGAGATCTCCACCTCAGTCCCCATCATGTATGTTCCATTTTGATTCACCTCTCTCTCTCTCTCTCTCACACACACACACACACACACATACATATATAGATATATGTGTGTGTATTTGTAGGTATAGCTATATATGGCTTATTTCCAGTTTAGTTTGCCTTTTATTTTTTGGGAGGGGGGGGTGGCCTAGGTAAAGACCTAACAGTTAGCCCTATTTTCACAAAAATACTCAGTTAGATTCAAAGATGTAATTTTATAACATTTTTAGCATTGCAGGTGTTTGGAGATTGAACTAGGAACAGACCTAACCTTTAGCTTTGTTTCCACAAGTGAATACTGCCGGGTCAAATCCCACAATCTTAGGGTTCTAGCTCAATAGGGAATTTTACATGTATATGCTTATGCATAGGTATTAGGTTTTGAGTTTGATTGTGGCATGGATATTATTCTTTTTGCTTGATGAGGAAAGTAAAGGGGAAGACGATGAAGTGACAAATATTGAATTTTTTTATTTTAATAATGTTTTGGCACCCAAAAATTTGTAAATTTGACTGAATCAAGCCAATATTACAATGAATTGGGTGGAAATTTCTGTTTTGTTGCTGAGAAAACTGAGGAAAAGAGGATGAAGGAATAAACTTGCAGTTTTTGTTTTCCAGAGAGATGAAATGTAGCCCAATTGAGCAAGCACTCGGCTATTCCTCTCCCCCCCCCTCCCCACCACCAAAAAAAACACACACACNTTTCTGTTTTGTTGCTGAGAAAACTGAGGAAAAGAGGATGAAGGAATAAACTTGCAGTTTTTGTTTTCCAGAGAGATGAAATGTAGCCCAATTGAGCAAGCACTCGGCTATTCCTCTCCCCCCCCCTCCCCACCACCAAAAAAAACACACACACACACACACACACACACAAGGTGTTGTATCTTTTTCTATATCACAGAATAGAATAGATCATGTTATTTGTGTTAATGTTGTAACCTACTTATTAAAGAAGGCATTTGTGTTCTGGTGCTGAATCTAGGATTGCAAGTTTTGTTGAGGTTGTTCACACATCTCTTTTTTCTGTTCTAATGTTTTTTTTTTTGGGTCAATTCTGTTCTAATGTTGAAGTAAGGAATTTTTTGTGAGGTAATATGTAGTTTTTGGAGTGTGCGGTCATTAACATACCATTTTTAGCCTTTGTTGGGAGGCATGACAGCCAAACTTTTTAGATATATGTTGTTTTTTTTTTGTTGAGAAATATGTGTTTTGATAGATATGAACAAGACACTTTTAGTTTGGGATTGGATTATATGAGAGGAGCTGAACATGGATGTGCTTCTTGTTACAAAAATAAAATTGTGTTTAGCAGGGTGAAAATGCATGGTGTTCTTTTAAGACTTTCATTTGGTCAAAGCATTGGAGGATTGATGCGACAGGTTCGATGCTTACCGTAATGATTTTATTAGGGGAGGGGAATTCTTCCCGCTATAAGAGAGTGGCTTTTTTCTTACTTAAGTGGTGGTAAAATATTGATGCTTGTCAATTAGTCTACCCTGGGCTGTTTAAATAGATACATTATGTGCAAGAAAGGAATCAAATCAGTTGTGTAGGCCAGGTGAGATAAGGATATGATCTCTAATACTTGACTACTATTGGCCACGTACAAACAAAATCCCCGCAACTGGCTTTGGTATTACAACTACTACATTTGTAGAAGGATAGTGGTGAATAGGGTTGCTTGTATGGTGAGCATGAGGTGGGCTATGGTGCTGAGGAACATCAGAGGAAATTTGGAAATTTGTTGGCCTTACAGAGTAGATGTGAATAGGATTTGGAATTGCTATGTTGGAACTTGTCTTTGATTGGTAGATCCTTTATATTTTTATCCTCAATTGCAGAACTCAGTAATCCATCTGCTACTGGATGACACCCATGGCTGAGTTCATTATATGAAATCTTATGTTCCAGAATGCCTGAAATGATTTTTTATGACATACATGTATTAAACTAAACTAGCTGTAAACTTAGCTAAATAAGGTAGTTGGGTCCTCTATGATGCAATATCCCAATTAATTTCCATTTTGATTTCAAACCTGTATTTAAGACTTTTTCTCATTTTTAAAGTTGTTCTCCCCCCTTGAGTTTCTTAGGGGTTGCATCAGTCAGTTGAGCCTTTCAGTTCGTTGTTTGTGATTCACTGAGTCAGCGCGTGAGGTTAAAAGGGGGGGGGGGG